GACAGGCCTGTGCCGGGGTAGTTGCATATACGTGCAGGCGGTCACTTGCTCCCACGGCGTTCTGTGTGGCTTTCCCGCTAGCTAGCTAGTTAGTGAGTGAGCAGCAACGGGACTGACTAACTAGTTCAAATCCACGAGTTACCCGCCAACCAAGTACACCCCACACCGTCGCAGACAGGACAGCATTACTTACAGCCAACCTGCAAACCGTTCTGTTCCCCCACCTCAGCCTGTTCTGCTCCCTCTCGAGCAACCCGGCTATCCTCACTCTTCAAGTCAACCAGCGATCTACATACAGTCTACATCCAGCCTACCTACCGAGGGCGTACGGAGTACCAAACGAGGGAAACCCTCCCCCAGACCTCCTCCCCCGCCACAGCGCGCCACAGAACCAACACCAGAACACCGAAGCACCTTGGAAGCTTGCCATTGTTTTTTTTTGGTTGTCAGCGAGCGAAAACCAGCCGGATAGGAAGAGAAAGCCCGGGGAGGAAAAAAAAGGATACCAGCTGAAGAAAAACAAGAGCGGAGAAGAAAAGCAGAGTGAGGATGGCGGCGTCGGCAGCAGGAGGCTTGCTGAGCCGCCAGCTCAAGCAGATGCAGACGGACAAGGACATTCCGGGGATCAGCTGTGGGCTGGCGGACGACAACAACGTGTTTGAGTGGGAGGTGATGCTGATGATATCGGACGACTGCAAGTTCTACGGGGGTAATTACCGCTGTCTTGCGAAGCACAAATACGTTGTTAAAACTCGGGATCTGACTTGAGACAAACAGGAGGTTTCTTTCGCGCAAAGCTGACCTTTCCACCTGAATACCCGCATCTGCCGCCAAAGATGAAGTTTGAGACACCGATGTTCCATCCCAATAGTGAGTGGTCTTTTTTGTTTTTTATTTTTATTTTTCCCATTTGTATGTACTGTCTAACGTCGACTAGTATATCCCAACGGCGAGGTATGTATATCGATTCTGCACCCGCCAGAGGAAGACAAGTACGGGTACGAGTCGGCGGCCGAGCGCTGGTCGCCCGTGCAGACGCCGGAGACGATACTGCTGAGTGTGATTAGCATGCTGTCGAGCCCAAATGACGAGTCACCGGCGAACGTGGAGGCCGCCAGGCTGTGGCGGGAAGATCCCAAGGAGTTCAAGAAGCGAGTGCGGCAGTGTGTGCGCGAGAGTCTGGGGGAGGATTAACTAGTCGTCTACATTAAATATCGTTATCCATGACCAGCTTCTATCGGAGTTAAATATCTTTATCCAGAACCAGCTTCTAACGTTGGAGTTAAATATTCTTATGCATGACTAACCAGCGTCTCGTCTATCGTTGGAGTGCTCGTTGCTTTGCGTATAACTAGTTTGTCGTGGTAATCCCAAAAAGGCAAATTGAACTTCCATCAGTAGTCAACTCAGAGTAAAAGAACCAAGATGAGAACTTCTTTCTTGACCTGAACTTTTGGCATTAATATTATTATCATGAGCTTTTCGCAGCGTTTATTACATATATTCGAGAGAGAGTTAATACAACATTACACACTGCTAGGATATATCCGTGATTTACCTCGTCCATCAATTCAGTGACTCGTAACTAACAAAGGAAAAAAAAAAAAAACAGGCACCTCATCAAAGTAAACTCCAGACTAGCATGAGAGAGGAATTTACAAGGCGAGGAGGGCAACGAGACCGATGGCACCAGCAACACCAAGACCAGTAGCCTTGGGAGCCATACCCTGGGAGGGGGTTGGGGATGGGCCGTTGCCAGAGCCAGAGGTCTCGCTGCCACCGCTGCCGCCGCTGCCGCCGCTGCCCTCGGTGGAGGATGGGCTGGAGCCACCCTCGGAGGAGGTTGCAGAGGTAGGCTCGGGGCCGGAGGTGGACTCGGAGCCAGAGCCAGTGGAGGAGCCGGACTCGGAGCCGGACTGGGAGCCAGAGACCTCGGTGTAGAGAGTGGTGGCAGGGCGGCTGGTGGTGATGACATTGGTGCCGGAGGTGATGACGGTTGGGCCAGCAGGGATGGTGGTGTAAGGGGTAGAGTGGCCACCGGACTGTTTTTCGAGTTAGTATATAGATTCAACACGTTTGATATATATATATATATATGTCAGGTAGAGGGCAGCTTACGGTTGGGGCAGGGGCAGAGCCAGAGCCGCTGGTGGGGGGAGCGGTGGTCTCAGAGCCGGAGCCAGAGGTGGGAGTTCCGGTAGCAGTGCCAGAGCCGGTGCCGGTAGTAGGAGCACCAGTGGCTGTTAAGCAGGTGTTAGTATAATCATTTCATGCAGCGGAAACAGATAATTGAGAGAAAACGTACAGCTTCCTGGAGCACCGCCCATTTCCTTGCAGGCCTCCTGACCCTTCTTGACAACATCGTCAATGTTCTCGCCAGGGCAGGCCTCCCGGGTGCAGTCACGCAGACCGTGGGTGAAGTCAGGGTGCTGGCAGAGACAGCCGGGGTCGTGAGGAGGGCATCCAAGCTCAGAAGCCTTGCCCAGCATGCTCGACAGACAGGCTTGCTATCAATGGATAGTCATGTTAGTTAATTGGACTTGGGATGACTATCTTCGCTGGGTGGTGGGATTGGTACGCACAGAGCAGCCTGGGAGCTCAGCCAGGGTGGTGGCGAGGCCCATGGAAGCGCCGAGGGCGACAGAGACAATGACAGAGGCCTTCATGTTGACTGGTTGGTATATGTGAGGACAGTAGTAAGTACTGATTTGGCAAACAAGCAAGTCGACTCTTTGTAGAGAGGAATTGACGATGAAGGGATATCAATTGAACTTGTCTGGAGAAGAGAAAGGGAGAGAGAGAGAAGAGAAGAGAAGAGAAAAAAAGACGAGACGAAGGGTGGGAGAGGGAGAGCTAGATAAAGGCAGGGCGGGAAAGGGGGAGGGCAGGGCCAGCAGCCCAGCAGGCAGGGTCGGGAAGAGGCAAAACACAGAGAGCGAGAGAGATGGGAAATGGGAAATGGGAAGAAAAAAAAAAA